TTTTCCCTCCAGCTTAGTTTATCGTACAGCACATGGCACATAGGACGTGTAAAATAGGTGTACCTCTCTTTGTTATCCGTAAGGCTCTGGTCAATAGCAGACTGTTAGTAGTTAGGTTTGGGGGAAATCAAAAGTTGTATGTGGATTTTTTTAGGGGCGCCTGGGGGGCTCAGTCGGTTAAGCGTCTGACTTTGGCTCAGGTCATGATCTCACGGTTTATGAGTTCAAGCCCCATGTCGGGCTCTGCGCTGACAGCTCGGAGCCTGGAGCTGCTTCGGATTCTGTGTGTGTGTCTCTCTCTCTGCCCCTCCTCCGCTCATGCTTTTACTCTCTGTCTCAGAAATAAATAAACACTAAAAAATTAAAAGTTGTATGAGGATTTTTGACTCGGGGGGGCGGGCAGTGCCTCTAACACTGGCCGAGGGTCCGATGTCCACTGAAATGCTAGGCTTGGGCACTTTTCTCTGTGTGTGTCACACGTCACAATAACAATGATTTTGAAGAAATGAAATGTTTCAAGCAGGTCAGCTCTTCGTTCCCCTCCCTCGGACTCCTTTGTGAAAACAGTTACTAGAGAAAACATTTCAACCAAAATGAATAAGAAAGTGATAGAAGAGGAAGAAACTGAATCCAGGAAAAGTAGGTGTAGCCCCAATGGGTGGAGTGAGAAGAAATGTCTGCCAGCACGCATCACGCCCAAAATTGGTGTGATTGAGGGCTGAACAGTTCCATGGGCATGCGTTGCGTCCAGGTTCACGTGTGCCATGTGCACACGTTTGTGCCTTGTATGTGCTCACATGTGTCATGTGCACATGCATGTCTCTGTGTGCGCACATGTCTGTATATGTGCACACTCACGTGCGCCGCATGCACACACGTCTATGCCATGTGCATGCTCGTGTGTGCCGTGCACACACATGGGCTGTGTGCACACATCTGAACTGTGCACACTCATGAGTGCTGTGTGTGCACTCTCACGTCAGCTGTATGAGCATGTGTCTGTAGGTGTGCAAGCTCACATGGGCTGTGTGTACACGTCTGTACATGTGCACTCATGTGAGCTGTGCACGCACATGTCTGTACGTGTGCACACTCATGTGGGCTGTGCACGCGCATGTCTGTACATGTGCATGCTCACATGAACCATGTACACACGCATGTCTGTACTTGTGCGCGCCCATATCGGCTGTGTGGGCACACATGTCTGTAGGTGTGCATGTTCACGTGTGGGCCACGTGCGTGTGCATGTGTGCACATGTCTGTACAATGCATTGTGTGTGTGCACACATGACTGTGCGCGTGCACACTCACATGGCTGTGTGAGCACCCACGCGCACACACGTAGCTCCACGTGCACACATATTCACGTGTGCTGTGTGCACACGTGTGCCGTCACATCCCGGTGGGTCTGTGGAGACTGAGGGACGGCGCTGGGGGCGCCCTATCGCTGGTCGGCCCTGATCTCTCCTCTGGGGCTGAGAGGGTAGCGGGCAGCCGTCTGGGACAGGGAGGTGCCCGCGATGTGACCACTGGGTGAGGACGTCAGAGCCTGTGTCACTGAGTTGAGGTCAAAGTGTTGACAGGGCTGGTTCCTCCTTGGGGCTCCAGGAGAGCGCCCTTTCCTCCAGCTTCTAGAGGCTTCTTCACATCCCCTCCCCAGCCTCTGCTTCTGTCCCTACGTCTTCCACTCTGACCCTCCTGCCTCGTCTGATGAGGACGCTGTGACCCGGCGGCCTGCCCTGGCTGTGAGGTCCCTCTGGCCGTGTGAGGCGATGTCCAGGCTCCAGGCTTCCGATGGGACAGTCAGAGGGAATAGAGCAGGCCCGGGGGTGCCCAGGCAGGGTCCAGTCGTGCAGGGCGGGGCCGGAGGCCGCAGGGGAGTGGAGGGAGAGGGTACAGAGTTGGACCCCAAAAGACCTAAAGACTGTGGACCAGGAGCAGGGCAGCTGGGGGGGCGTGTCTGCATAGACAGGGGCTGGGGCGGGTGTCAGCCGGCAGCCCCCCTGCCCCCGGCGTCCCCAGGCCCCGCTTGAGCCAGGGGAACGCTGCAGGGTGCCCCGCTGCCCCTGGCTTCCGACCCTTTCCACAGCCTCCTTCTTTGGTCACCTGTCATCTGGGTCCGCAGATCCCCTTGGGGGTGGGGAGGGGCCCTAGAAGGACGCAGATGCTGTGGCCCGGGGGCGGCGCCCCTCCTGGAGACCCTGGCCGGGCCCCCTGAGCTCTGCAGCAGATGTTTGTCCTGCAGCAGCCGAGGTCCCAGCTGTCTACTCCAGCCCCACCCGGGGCCCTGGCGGCCAGTCTCCAGCTCACGTGCGACCCCAAGTCCTACTCTCTGGGCTTCGGTCCCCCCGCTGTCCAGTGGGGCATTCGGACTCAGGGACCCGTCCTGTCCGGCCTGCTTTCCGGGCGGTTGTGAAGGACGCCACGGCAGCCATGGGTGCCCGCAGTGAGGCCACCGCCGTTCCGGGCCTCCGTGCACGGGTCCGGGACACACAGCAGAGCGGCGGCCGCGAGCCATGGGGGTTGCGCCAGGAGCCTGAGGGCTGCACGGTCCCCCGGCGGCAGCCAGAAGGCTCTGGAAAAGTTGTTTTTCACCGGCTGCATCTGGAGAAGCATTTGGGAGGCCAGGTCCTTCCAGCTTGGGGGGGGGGGGCAGGGCCCGAAGGCCACAGAGCCCAGCCCCCTGCACAGCCCCCAGTGGCGGGTGAGGGGGTGGCCTCCCTGGACGCGGAGCCCAGGCCTCACGTCCCGCACAGGGGTCAGCCAGACGAGGGTAGGGGCGAGACTACGGCGGGCCCGGCCGACGCCTGAGCCCAGAGACCCCACGTCCCAGCACGGCCTCACTGATGGACAACCTGAGGCCTGGGGGCAGGGGGCGGGGGGAACAGCTCTTGTCAGCCCGCGGCCCGGGGGCAGGGAGGGACGAGATGTGAAGTGACATTCTGGGGCGCTTGTGAGGCCAGAGCCCGAGTCAGGAGCCTCCTGCGTGACAGTTAATTCAGAGTTCGCTGTGGCAAAGCAGGTGCCAACCGGCCAAGCCGCTCCTCTCTGGGCCCCACGGCCTCGCTGCTCCCCGCGTCTGCCCCCTGCTTCCCTCCCCTCCGGGTCAGGGGTTTCCGGGGGCGGGGGTGGGGAAGGGGTGGGGCTGACAGCTTGGCGCCCATCGATGTCCCTGGGGGGCCATGTTCAGGGAGCCTGATCCATCCAGACCTCGGGGCGAAGCCTCGCAAACGCCCCTGATCCCCGACCGCAGGGGCTGTGGCCCCGCCCACGACCCACCGCCTGTGAGGCCGCAGCTGCGAGGGAAGGTTCTGGGCTCTCCGTCAGCTCCGGGGCCCATGGCTCTCTGCCCCTCGGCCTGAGGGGTTCCTCCAGCTCTGGGAGCAGCACCCCAGCCTCACGTGGTGCAGCCCCACGGCCAGGACCTAACTCCCTACAGAGCAGCCCCGGGGCCTTGGTGAGGCCCCGGGTATGGGAGGGGCGCTCAGTTCATGCAGTGATCGGAGCCCAAGGATTGCAAAACTGCGGTGTTGAACCAGACGCAGCGCCCTGCGTCAAAGCTGCTTGCGACATTTCTGGTCCTGGCAAGTGCTCGGTCACCGGATCCCCCATCCAGCCCACCGGCTGCAGTGCACCCAGCCGGCCGCACCCAGCACCACCGACGCCCGGTGGCCTGATGTCCTGTGCATCCCTCCAGGCACCAAACAGAGCTCCAGCTGCCGCCGCGGCCGCCTGAGGCCACCCTCTAAAACCGGCCTGTAGCGGGTCGTTTAAATACGGGCCCGTCACGCGTCGGGCTCCCAGAGCCGCGAAGGGCTTGAAGTCCCGGGGCTGTTCGGTGCCCCCTAAGGAGACGGAGGCCGGTGCTCACACAGCTGCCCGGAGGCAGACGCTGCCGCCTGCGAGGCTGGGTCCAGCGGGGCCGCCATCCTCCTGGCCTGTGGCCCCGAACCCAGGCCTGGCCCCTCCTGCCCAGACCTCCTGGGCGCCCCCACCCTCACCCTGCTGCCCCGACGTGCTAACCCGGGCAAGTTCGCGGCTCTCGGTGTCCTGCCGTGGGGTCTCTGGGCAAACCGCCTGGTCTCGTCCTGCCTCGCTTCCCCATCGCCCGGTGGTGCGCGGCGGGGGGCGGGGTGACAAGGAGCAGATGCAGAGACGCTTCGCCCCCTCCACGCGCGTAGCGGGCTCCGTGGGCGCTCGGCCCCATCGCCGGGGGGCGGGGGCGGTACGGCAACACACGGGGAGAGGACACGTCAGGGCAGGCGACCGTCTGGCCCACGACCACGGACTGGGAGGGAGCGGGGGGCCGGCCCGGCGCCCCTGTGCTCAAGGTGGCGTCCCAGGCCACTGGCGTCAGGTCCGGAGGCGGCAACGGCTGTGGCTGGGGCGGGGGGGGGGGGGGGGGGCAGGCTGCCCTAGGCGCCCCCCGCCGGCTAACAACCATGTGCTTGTAAACTTTAATTTCCGTACAGTAGAGAAACACACAGTACAAGCAACACGGGGAATCCCCTGTACAGCAAAGCTCCCCACGGCACCTCACAGCACAGCCTGCCCCCGCCCGCCACTCCCGGGCCACCCAGCAGGCGACTGCCCGGCGCAGGACAGCACAGGGGAGGCGAGGCCAGCTCAGTCCTACCCCCGTCGGGGGGCTTCCGCTGCCCGCTGCTGCCCCAAGGTCACCTCCAGGACAAGAGGCCTTCCGGAGGGTGTGACTCTCTCTGCTCCGGGCCCGTCTCTCTCCCGCCACAGGGGTCGGCTGGGAGGCCAGGGCGCGACCCCTGGTGCCTGCTGTGGGCCGGGTCCCCGCACTGGGCCCGCAGAGGCTGTCACACATGGCCGCCCTCAGGGCCTCCAGGCTGGCGGGGGCCCAGCGCCCGTCATTCAGTGTGGTGGGCGCTGTGTCCGGTGTGGGGGATGGGAGGCCCTCCCTGGGGAGGACGGGCTCGGGACTGACCTGAGCAGGCGAGTGGGGGGAGGGGCAGGGGTAGGTTGGACACTGAGACCCGAGTATGGACAGGTGTAGAGGCAGGGGTGGGGGCTGCAGGAGACTCCGGAGTTGGAAGGTGACCCTCGGGAGCACCTGTACGAGGGGACGTGTGGCTGCCTGGGGGCACTGTGACGAGGGAGCCAAGCCCCCGAAGGCTGGGAGGCGGGTCCCGGGCCAAGCCCACCTGCCGCTCTGTCCCTGGACAGCCAGGAGGAGGCCTCTGGCTCTGCTGAGGACCGTGCGTGGTCCTTCGTCCCCACCCCGCGGGACGCAGCGGCCCGGACGGGACCCCTGGGCCGGCAGCTGTCCTGGGCTGCGGGCTCCAGCGCTCGGCGATGCGGGGAGGGCCCCTCACAGGACCACCTCGGGCGCGATGCTAAAGAGGAGGTCGTCGTTGCCGCGGCGCACCTCCAGCAGCAGAGGGGACTCCGTCAGCACGGCCTCCTGCAGCTCGCTCGAGTCCGCCAGCGGGCGCCCGTTGACCTTGACAATGATGTCGCCATCTTGGATGCCGCCCCTGTGGATGGAGGGACACCAGTCACTGAATGTCCCTGCAAGGCCAGGACCCCGCTCGGGGGTCGGCCTGGTTGAACAGCAGCAGCTGAAGACCCACTCCCATGGGTGACAACGCACCCTGGCTGCAGGGCCCCTATGCCAGTCGGAAACCGCCGCCCTGCAATGGCCCAGGCTTCGCTAGCCCGCTTCTTCTACGCGACGGGAGGGCCAGGTCCGAGCGGGGCTGCAGGCTTCCTGCCTGGGCGGCCTCAGGCCAGGCCTTGGAGCCTCGGTCCCTACGCCTGTGTTCCCTGCGGGGACACGCCCGGCAAATTACGAGGTCCAGGCTGCGGTGAGGGGTAACCACGAAGGCGCCTCTGGAGCGCTGACTCATGCTGCGGCCTCAGCCGGCGGCAGCCACCGTGGCCCCACGGCTCTGGCCCCTGGGGGTGGCCAGCACGTTGTGGCTCCTGGTGCCGGCCACCTGCCTCAACCCTGAACAAGGGGCCCGAGCTTGGCCTTTATTCTTTGGCTTCATGGATCGGTGTGTTAACAGCTTCTACTGCAGGCTGCGCACGTGTGCTGGGCCCGTGTCCTCCCGCACAACCTCTAAAACAACACAGCGCAGAAACAGCAAGGGGGTCTTGGTCATGGGCCGGAGGCCTGCCCGCCGGGGTCATCTCTGCTCCAGCCCCTGCCCCGCCCCCCACGGTACCCATGTGCAGGGCCTCCAGCTGCGGGAACTACCGTTTAGACCCCTGACGGGGGCGGCCTGCCCACCACACCGGCGGAGACCCGGGCGGAGGAGGGAAGGGGCTTGGCAGAGCCCCTGTGGGCCTGGATCGGCCCCGCGAGCATGCCGGCTGCCTCAGCTCGCGGTGCTGCTCGCGGTGCTGCACACAGTCCACCTGGCCCCAGAACTTGGTGGGGAAGAAAACAGAGCTCCGTCTCGTTTGAGCTTGACAAGGTCTCCTCAGGGGACAGAGAGTGGGCTGGATCGCGTCCATCTTGCAGACGAGGAAAGAGGCCACGGAAGACCCAGGTGGGCCCATCAGGCTGCTAGGAGTCAGGCTGGCATGGGGTTTGAGCTCTGAGGGGGGGTCTCCACTGCTCTGTCTCCCCAGACCCAAAGGAAAGGGCATTCTGGGGGCGCCTGGGGGGCTCAGTCGGCTGAGCGTCTGGCTTTGGGCTAGATCTTGATCTCATGTGGGTTCAAGCCCCACATCAGTCTCTGTGCTCCAGCTCGGAGCCTGGAGCCTGCTTCCAATTCTGTGTCTCCCTCTCTCTCTGCCCCTCCCCTGCTCTCTCTCTCTCTCTCTCTCTCTCTCTCTCTCTCAAAAATAAATAAATGAGGGGCGCCTGAGTGGCTTAGTCAGTTAAGCGTCTGACTTTCTCTTAGGTCATGATCTCGCGGTTCGTGGGTTTGAGCCCCGCGTCGGGCTCTGTGCTGACTGCCAGCTCAGAGCCTGGGGCCTGTTTCAGAGTCTGTGTCTCCCTCTCTCTCTGACCCTCCCCTGCTCACGCTGTCTCTCTCTCTCTCTCTCCTAGAAATAAATAAAACATTTAAAAAATAAATAAATAAATAAATGAATGAAAAAAATAAAAATAAAAGGGAAGGCCATCCCGAAGCAAGGGTGGTCAGTGCCAGTGCTCTGAGGGGTACCTCCTCTCTCCAGCCTGGCCCCAGCTTCGACGACAGGCCGGAATCCCACCTGCCACTTCCGTGCCATGCCACGGGCCAGGGGCTCAAGGTCATGCAAGGTCACTGAAGCAAGTCCACCTGAGGTGTCAGGCCCACCCAATACCACCCTCCACCCCCCGCACTGAGGCCTCCCGTCTGTCCTCTCCCCCTCCCGTCGGGCAGCCTACCTCTCAGAAGGTGAGTTTGGAATGACTTCCTGCACGTAGATCCCACTGCTGACCGACGGGAAGTCTGGGTCGCTGGCTTTCAGTTCTTCCAGCAGACTGCAAAGACAGTTCCACAAGTAAGCCACGTCCGCCTCCATCCTCACGTGGAGGCAGCCACATCCCCGAAACAGCTGGAGCCCCCAGATGCAAAGAAGGACTCCCCCCCACCCCCGCAGGGCCTTCGGTGGGAGTGCGTCCCCGCTGACGCCCTGATTTGGGACTACTGGCCTCCAGGATTGTGAGGGAAGGGATTCCTATTGCCATAAGCCATCGAGTTTGTGGTGATCTGTTACGGTAACCACAGAGCCTTCCTGGAGGCGACGGCACCTGAATGGAATCCTGAGGGAGCTGAGGGAGCAGGGGGACTGGCCTGAGCCAAGGCTTGGGAGCACGAGTGCATCGGCCCACGGAGCACCTGCACGCGGCCGGGCATGGCTGGGCAGGGCCCCGGAGGAGGACGCAGGGGCAGCAACGCATCCCTGAGACACTCACCTCGGGGTGATGGTCCGCATCCGTATGCCGATGAACCGCTTCTTCCAGTCTGGGAACGAAACACGACGGGATTCCGTTAGAGCCGTCACGAAAGCCTCGGCCTTCCGTAGTGCCCACGTGGGGACTCGGTTCGCCCCTGGAGCCGAAAAGGCGGCAGGAGCCTCCCCACGCAGTCACAGGTCTAGAGCCGCTGTCTTGCCTCGTCTGGTGGCCTCATGCCCACCCTCGTCCTCAGGCCCCGCGCACCCACATCAGCTCCCGCACCTGCTCTGTTGTGAGCCCCACGCCCAAACCCTGATGGTCTGAAAGGGGCTCTCCTTTCCAGCCTCCATCTCCCAGATTCCCCACACCTGCCTGCTCACATCTGAACTTGTCACCTTATCCTGCCTTCCCCACAAATTATAATAGTAGCCGATAATGCCCAGGCAGCACGAGGTCAGGTCCTCTGTTTGGAGTGTTATACACACAACTTCCCTCCGGCTGCTCCAGCCTGTGACTTAGAAGCTGTCCTGGACCCAGAAATGACATTTACCTAAAATGTCCTATCACAAAAGCATGCTCTCTGACCACAGCAGAATTAAAGTAGAAATATCCAGAACTTAGAAATGAAATGACATACTTATGAACAATCTGTGTTCAAAGACTAAATCAAAGAGGAAACCAGAAAGTATTTTAAACTAAATAAAAATGGCAAAATGACGTATCAAAGTTTGGGAGATGCAGGTAAAGCAGTACTTGGAGGGCAATGAATAGTACCAAAGTGCCAATATCAGAAAAGAAAGGGGTTTCAGATCAGTGACGTCAGCTTCCACCTTAAGAACTAGAAAAAGAAATTCAGATGAAGCCCAATGTAAGCAGAAGAAAGGAAATACCAAAGATTGGAAATTGGTGAAGTAGAAAACAGAAATATAATAGAGAAGATAAAACTTTAAGCTTTCAGCCACACTGATCAGCCGAAAAAAGGAAAAGGCAAGATAATTATCCACACCAGGAATGGGAGAGGTGACATCACCATGGATCCTATAGGCATTAAAAGGGTCATAAGACTTAATGATGAATAACTTAATGCCAATACATTTGATGACCCGGACAACATGCACACATTTCTCGAAGTTTCCAAACTGCCAAATCTCATCCGAGAAGCAGCAGATAACCATGTACCCTTGCCTCTCCTTTTAAAAACTAAATTTGTAGTTAAAAATCTTCCCATAAAGAAAATTCCAGGCCCAGGTGGGCCCACAGGAGAATTCTACCAAATGGTCAGGAAAGAAATAGCACCAACTCTGGACAAGCTCTTGCAGCCAACACCTCTGGGATATTGTGATTTATAATGAGAAATATGTGTTTTGGTGTTGGCTTTTGGTTCCCAGCACACAGCCTCTAGCTCTTTTATAATCCCTGTGATAAGGGCTCTGGGGGCATCTTTTGCTGTCAGCTCCCGAAATAGTGACAGTGACAAATGTGAGATGGGTGTCTTCTGATACTCACACCACAAGCCCCTTTTCCCCTGCCAACCACTCCTGAGTATGTTAGTGAGTGACTTTGAGAAGCCCCTAAGGAAGGGGCCAGTTGCCAGGAAAACCTACCCATGTGTCTAAGGGTCCAGCTTTCAGCTCCAACTCCCACCCTGCCTCTGGGGAGAGGTGAGGGGCTGGAGGATGAAATAATCACCGTGGCAGTGATGTAACCAATCACGCCTACGGACTGAAGCCTCCATTCAAGCCCGAGAGGGTGGGTGGGAGAGCGTCCGCCAGTTGGTGATTCCCCAGAGGGACTCCGGGCCCTTCCCCAGACCTGACCTGTGCATCTCTTCTGTCACTGTTCTGAGTGACACCCCTTTACACATAAACTGGTAACCTGGTAAGTCACTGTTTTCCTGCGCTCTGTGAGCCGCTCTAGCAAATGACCAACCCGAGGAGGGGGCCGTGAGAACCCCCAGTCTATAGCCGGTGGGTCAGAAGCACAGGTGACAGCCTGGACTTTTGACTGGCATCTGAAGCGGGGGCGGTCCTGTGTGACCTTGGCTGTGGGCTCTGACGTGATCTCCAGGCAGACAGCGTCAGACTCGGGGGAGAACAGGACAGCCAGCTGGTGTCGGGAAGCCCCTCGCACTTGGTCAGCAGGGTGTCAGAAGTGACACGCTGTCGTGGCAGAGAACTGAGGACAGACCAGAGACATGGGAGAGGACTTTTTCCTCAGCAACTTCCCAACTACCGTCCGGACACCAAGACCAGAAAATTAGACCAGCACCCCTTGGGAAGATGGCTGCAAAAGCTGGAGACGTTTCCAGCAAACCAAGTCCAACACCATGCAAACGGGGATAAAGCACCGTGAGTAAGGAGGGGGAGGTACCCAGGAGTACACGGTGCCTCAACACTCGAAGGCCAACCAGCACAATTTACCACATTAACAGACTAAAAAGGAAAACCATCAACTCAAAAGGCACAGAAAAAGTGTCTGACAAAATCTTCCAACATCTGCTCCTTCTAAAAACCACAAATTGGGGCGCCTGGGTGGCTTAGTCGGTTAAGCGTCAGACTTTCGCTTAGGTCATGATCTCGCGGATCGTGGGTTCGAGCCCCGCGTCGGGCTCTGTGCTGACTGCCCGCTCAGAGCCTGGAGCCTGTTTCAGTCTGTGACTCCCTCTCTCTCTGACCCTCCCCTGCTCACGCTCTCTCTCTCTCCTAGAAATAAATAAAAATAAATAAATAAAAATAAAATAGAATAAAATAAAAACCACAAATGGGGGCGCCTGGGGGGCTCAGTCGGTTGAACGTCCAACTTTGGCTCGGGTCATGATCTCACGGTTCGTGGGTTCAAGCCCCGCGTCGGACTCTGTGCTGACAGTTCGGAGCCTGGAGCTGCTTCAGATTCTGTGTCTCCCTCTCTCTCTGACCCTCCCCCGCTCACGCTGTCTCTCTCTCTCTCTCAGAAATAAATAAATAAATAAATAAATAATAAATAAATAAATAAATAAAATAATAAAAACCACAAATGGAAGGGAACTTCTTCTGCCTGAGGCAGGACACCTGTGAGAGACCTTGAGCGAGCCTCCTGCTTACAGGTGGAAGACCAGAGACTTCTCTCCAAGGTCAGGAACAACGCTAGCACACCCTCTCTCACCACGTTTATTCAGTATCTTATGCAGGCTCCAGCCAGGCAAGAAGGAAAGGCATCCAGCGTGGAAGAGAGAGGCAAAACGGCCTCTATTCACAGACTGCAGAATAATCTGCATAGAAAATCTGACGAGGGCGCCTGGGGGGGTCAGTCCATTAAGCATCTGACTTCCGCCCAGGTCACAATCTCATGGTTCATAAGATCTGGGGTAGGAATTGACAAGCTAATTCTAAAATCCATATGGAGGGGAGCCTGGGGGGCTCAGACGGTAAGCGTCTGACTTCGGCTCAGGTCAGGATCTCACTGCTCATGGGTTCGAGCCCCACATCGGGCTCTATGCTGACAGCTCAGAGCCTGGAGCCTGCTTTGGATCCTGTGTCTCCCTCTCTCTCTACCCTTCCCCCACTCATGTTGTCTCTCAAAAATGAATAAATGTTTAAAAAAATTAAAATAAAGAAAGACTAGATAAATAAAAATTGTAAAAGTAAACTGCTAGGAGAAGATATTTCCAACCTTTGGTTAGCAAAGATTTCTTAGATACAACACCACACGCATGATCCATTTAAAAATTTTTGTTCGGGGCTCCTGGGGGGCTCAGTCGGTTGAGCCTCCGACTTCGGCTCAGGTCATGATCTCATGGTTTGTGGGTTTGAGCCCCGCATCGGGCTCTGTGCTGACAGCTCAGAGCCTGGAGCTGCTCCCAGTTCTGTGTCTCCCTCTCTCTCTGCCCCTCCCCTGCTCACGCTCTGTCTCTCTCTGTCTCAAAAATAAACATTTAAAAAATTTTTTTAATAAAAATAAAAATTTTTGTTCAATGAGACTTCATAAAAGTTACAAAACTTCTGCTCTTTGAAGACACGTTAAGAGAATGAAAAGCGAGGCCACAGGAGTAAACATTTGCAGCTCGTCCCTCTGTGGAAGGCTCCCATCCAAAGTGCTCTCAAAACCTACAAAGGACACAGACGACCCAATTGTTTTTAAGCGAGCAAAATATCTAAACAGACATTTCCGTCCCGAAGACAGGTGGGACTGGGTGAGGGAGGTCAGAGTGGGGGGGGGGGGTGTGCAGGGAGGCTGGGCCCGCGGCTCTGCAGAGCAGGCGGCTTGGTGTTCACCCCCAGCAGGTGCAGTCCCGGGGGGCTTTGGGGCAGAGACGGGCCTGCAAATCTGGGAGTCACTCCCTAGATGGCATTTCAACCCTCAAGACGGGGTGAGGGCCTCAGAGGAAAGGACAAAGGGCCGGCACAGAGGCCAGGGCCCCGCATCCAGCTCCTCGCATGACCAGCCCCTGGTCAGCACGGCTCACACCCCAAGCTCAGGCTTCTAACAGGAAGGGGCCTGAGCCTTCTGGGCTTGTGCGTGAGCGGCCGCCAGGCCAGGCAGACGTGCGGCCCTGTCACCCGCGAGGAAGCGCCATCTGTCTGAGTCCTTGGTTACAGCCCCACTCGGCACCCAGCCGGGAGCCAGCGGGCCCTGCCCCAGACGGCTTCTCCAGAAACAGGGGCGTGGGGTGCGGGGCGGGGGGCCTGACTGGGTTTCTAGGTCAGTGGACAACCCCTGAGTGCCCTCCGTCACTGGGACGTCACCTAAATGCTGGGGTCCCCGCGGTGCTGGGGACACAGAGGTGGCCTGCAGGTCCCGGCTTCGTTTCTGGCCGAATGTGTCATGAAGCCACTTTGGACCCAGGTGAGGCATGGACGTCAGGGCAGGTGATAAAAACTTGGGGGGGGGCGGGGGAAGAGGGAGGAGCGAGTGCTCCCTTTAGGGAGCCGGGTGCTCCCCATGCCACCCGCGCGCTCACGTGGCTGGTCAAAGCGCTGAAAGGGGGTCGCTGTAGGGCACTTAACTTCACCTCCACACAAAGCCACGGAGAAGCACAAGCCTGGGGCTCCTGGGGCATCAGGGCTGATCCCGGATTTGCCCCCTGAGCCCCCCTCCCCGGGAAACGCCCCGGGTCCAACACTGACGGGGCCCCAAGCTGCAGGGGGAGCCGCTGCCGCACCCAGCCAGGCCGCCAGGAGGGCGGTTCCCCCGTGGACTCCTGGCCCACGCCCGCGGCTGCCCGCCTGCCCGTGGGTGTGGCTCCCGGCCCCACCTGAGTCCGCGGCTCCGCTAACTTTCGCTGTCATCGCCGCTGCCCCGACGGTCACACCACTGAGCTGCGAGCGCGCCCAAGTCAGGTCTCAGGGACACGCAAGCCTGTGGCACCCTGAAGACACGACAACGGGCTCCACGGCACCGGCCCTGCCCGCCACACCCCTGCTCCTGCCTCCGGTCTACTGGGGGAGCTCTCCAGCAGGCGGGTGCCTGGAGTGGCGTGTGGCCGCAAGGCCGGGAAAGTGCCTCCAGTCCCCACCCCCGCGCCTCCCTGCGCCTCTCCCTGGGCGCCGGGGACAGAGGACCCTGGGGCAGGAGGTGAGCGACGTCCCTCCCCAGGCTGGACGTGGCCACTGAGGACCTGACACTGAGGGCCCCACTGACCCAAACACTGCCGGGGGTGCGCTCGAGTCCCGAGGCCGGCGGAGCCCCAAACGCTCGCGGGGCCGGAGCTGAGCTTCCCTGGGCGCAGCATGGTGGCTCCTTTCAGAGGCCTCTGACCCCTGCCTGGACAGGACCAAGCAGGGCCCCTCAACGTCTCCTTAATTTAATTTAAGGATGGTTTCTTTTAAAGAACTTTAGATTAACTGGGTTTAAGTATTTCGAAAGTTTTATTAAGAAACAGAAGGGAAGAGCGAACACGTCAAGCTCCAAAAGATTTTAAATTGTGGATTCAGCCATCCGGCTAAGAACCGCTGGGCTCTCCGACTAGTTGGCATGTCCCGGGGAGGTGGCAGCTCTGGGGATGGGGGTGAGTGTTTGCCAGGGTGTCTGGGGAACAGTCTGCATGACAGAGGAACGAACCCTGTGGCCCCCGGCGGGCTCTTGCCTGAGAGAGGAGAGGAAGGTGCGAGAAGCAAGGGGCCGCTACCATCGGATTTCCCAGAACCTGACAGCTTAGCCTGTGAAACACGCGATCCACCGATCTCCAGGAGGCGGCCAAGGCCAGAGGCACCGCTGGAGCAGAGCGTAGTTACGCTAGGAACACTCAGCTACTAGGGAAAGGACCAAGGCTATGACAGGTCTGAAGGTGAGGCCCCGGGTTAAGTTCTGAGCTTCCTAGCAGCCAAGGAGTAAAGGGCTCCAAAGGGTACAATGGCCCCTCTGTCAAAAGAAGGGGCCTTCAGCTTCGTTAGGGAAGGAGGGCTCGGCCCTGGCTCCAGGCCATCTTCACACAAGGGCCCCCGATGAACCACACGGAGTCCTCAACAGCAGTTCTTCACGTGACCAGTCCTCACAGTACTGGTCGCGGCTGCTCTGGGTTCCGCGGGCTTGGCGGGCGGGATCCTTGAGGTCAGGGCAAGCGCGAAGAGGCCCCTGCTCTCAGTGAACGGCAGGGGAGGGGGCTGGGAGGAGACAGGGAGGCAGTCTGAAGGTGTGAGGAGTGGGGAGGGGGTCTGGGCGCCGGCCAGGTGGGCACGGAGACAGAATGGCAGGAGGGAGGCGCTCACTTGGGCTACAATGAAAGGCGGGAAGGTGGGGCCGCCAGGAAAGCCCCCGAGAACAGGGGACGCATGGCCCTACTCTGGAAAGCAGCTGTGACCGCCGACTGTGAGAAGGCGACCGGCAGGCCCTCGCCGGGAGCCACCCGTGCCTGGCCAGGGCCTGCAGCAGGCGGGTGCCCAAGGCCGTCCGGGAGCGGGCAGGGGAGGCTGGACGTCTCTGTGCATGCGGACGGGGAGGTGGGGCTGAGAGCAAAATGGCTTCCAAGGTTCAGGGGCTTGGGCTCCTTTGGAGTAGAGGCTACCCTCCCGGGCAGTCCGCGCGACCAGCAGGCTGAAAGGGGGGGCGCTCAGGGGCGGGCAGGGGGGAAGAAGGAAAGGAGGGAGGCAGGTAGATGGGTGGAGTGGGGGATGGGTGGGGGAAAGAAGGAAGGTGTGGCTGGATGAGGTGGGGGATGGGTGGGGAGATGAATGGAGGAAGGAAGAAGTGTGGATGAATGGAAGGAACAATGAAAGGAAGGAAGGAGGGAGGGAGGAGGGAGGGGAGGGGGAGGGGGAGGGAGGAGGGAGGGGGAGGGGGAGGGGGAGGGGGGAGGGGGGACGGCAGGAAAGGCTGGTCTGCAGCAGCCCAGAGAAGGGGAACCTGGGGAGCCCAAGCCGCTGGAGGTGGGAAGCGGGAGGTGGGGGGTAGGAGACCCGCGGCCCGAAGGGTCTAGAGAGGCGGGGGTTGCACGTGGACGTGAAGAGGGGGGAAGACTGAGAGGGCGGGCGCAGGGTCCCCGGCACTTGCGGGGACAGCACGGAAGGCCAGCGCCCCCTGCCTCACAGCCCCGGGCAGCGCCTCACCTCTGATGTGTTTGTCCTGGAACTCGGCGAGGAAGCGCGTGATGCGGTCGGAGGGGATGGCAAAGGAGATGCCGGCCGCCACCTTGAGCGTGTTGATGCCAATGACCTCGCCGTCCTGTGCGGGGCCATCAGAGGGGGCGGTCACCCGGGGAGCCCAAGCACCGTGTCTGCCGCCCAGGCCCCACGGCCGACCCGGCCATCACTGCCCCCGAGGGGCCCCCAGAAGGTGGGGGTTCACCTCCAGGTCAGGGACCCCCACCTGTCCCTCTGAACCTGACCCCTCCTCTCCCCGGCCCCGCAGGTAGTGCCCAGCAAGGAGGACATCCCCCGGCGGCATCCTGGGGGCCCAGACAGCGGGTGGTGAGACCCCTGTCTGCCTTCCTTCTAGAAGTGCGGCTGGGGCATGAGGTCAGGGCAGGTCCCCGAGCATCACCGTGCTTGCTGTATCCCAGGAGCTGGCCTCCCCTGCTGCCCCCACCCTGCACCCTCCCGGGAAGGCGCTCCTCCCCTAGCCTGGCGTGCACCCGGCGCTGGCTTTTCTGGCCTCCCGCAGGAGCTTTCTGGAACACCAGTGTCGTGGCCCTTGTCCCGCTGAGCGTCCGGCCCCTCCCACTCATGTCGTGCTTCTCCCCGGACTCTCTCCTGCACGCCCCCCTCGACCCCAAACCCTCGGTCTCCACAGTCCAAGTTAGATGCCCCCGCCTCCAGGAAGCCCTCCCTGCCTGCACCCCTCCAGCACCCCCTCACTGCTCCTCACGTCACATCTTCCCACGTCAGACACACTGCTGCAGGATGGGAGCCCCCCAGAGTAGGGATGGCAGCCAACAGTTCTCGGGGCCCAGAGCTGAACTGATTTCTGATTTCTGAACTCCCATCTCCCCTGGGATGAGAATGAACCTGATTCTGGGGCCCAGGACAGACCCGGGACAGGGGTGACCCAAGAGGGCTGGGACAGAACGAGGATGTCCCTCACCTTGCACGTAAATGCAAGGATGGGGGACCCAGAGCGGTGACCAGCGGTGACCTGTGTCTCCCTTGCCCCAGGTCCTTGATGGGTGGTCCCTGCCTGGCCGCCGTTCGGGGCCATCCTTACTCGGCTCCCCCAGAGGCTTGGGGGGCAGGGCAGCGCACCCTTGGGGTCCTGCCCCCCCGCAACACTCCAGCCCAGCCACAGGGTGTGACGGTTCAAGGCCCATCTTTGAGGTCCCATCCCTGCCTGGGGCTGTGCGGCCATGTGAGCGGAGCCCGGAAAGCTAGACACCCCTGCTCCTGGGGACACTTACCAGGTTCACCAGAGGCCCCCCGGAGTTCCCGTACTGCAAGGGAGGAAACGAGACGTTAGCTGAGCCCCTTGAGGGTTCCGACCCCTCACTCTTAACCAGCACAGGTACTCGGATTTTACCCCCAACAGCCTCACTCCTGCCCCCATTTCCCAGGTAAGAAAGCCGAGGCCCCGGATGCTGTTGAGGACAAGTGGATGCTGTCTGAGGACAGGTCTGGCCTGGGCCGGAGCTCTCTGCACAAACCTCACGCCTCCAGATTCGCCTCACAGGGTACAGTTCTATCCCACCCACCCCCGGGGGTCTCTAGAAAGCCTAACATTTCTAGAAGAGCCCGAACCACGGCACGGCGGAGAGGTGGGGGTGGAGCGCCTGGGCAGAGCGCGCGGTGAGCACCGAGGCGCCCTGAGGACGAGAAAAGCGGGGCTGGCGGGGCCTGTGATCCGGGCTACACCTCTGCGTCTCCCAGGGGCCGGTCAGGGCCAGGACAGAGGCTGCTATAACCCCCAGGGCGGGCCTGGCGTCCGGTGCAGAAGTCACAGGGAGTCCGAGCTCCGTTCAGCCTAAAGAAGGAACTTTCTAGCAAGCGGACGGGCTGAGTGATGGCCCCCCAGAGGCCCCGCGAAACTCACGTTGATGATGGCGTCCGTCTGGATGTAGTCCATGTCTGAGTCGCGGAGGCCCAGCTCCTTGCCGTCCCGCTGGGCCGTGCTGACGATGCCCGTGGTCACCGTGTTCTGCAGGGCAAAGGGACTGCCGATGGCCACCACAAACTCGCCCGGCCGCAGGTCAGCTGAGCGGCCCAGCAGCAGCGCCGGGAGCTTTTTCTGAAGGGGGGACACGGGGAGGGAGGCTCAGCTGTCTGCCTTGGGTGGGACTGGGGCCAGATGGGGGCCGGGAAGGTCCCAGGGAGGCCGGAGCAGCTGGGTAGAACCGTCAGGGGTGAAGGCCAAGGCGAGTGGCCAACTCAGACAGAGGCCAGGCTGGCCTCCAGCTGACCCGTAGGAGGAGGAACCCGGGGCTGGAGTCCTTGGAACAGAGCCTCAGCCGCGCGAGTGACCACAGGGGTCCCCGGGTGGGCTGCGGGAGTGGCACACAGGGAGGATGGCCACGGGGTCCGGCTGGGCACAGCCTCTGAGGTCCACCAGTTCGGTGGTCACAGGCCCCTCTAAAAATCTGACAGGGGCTCTGAGCACCATCAGAAATGCATCCCACACAGACTGACGCGTACGACTGCAGGAGCCCTGGAGCCCTTGATCCTGCTCAACCTGATCTCCCAGTACAGACCCATAGGGAAACTGAGGCCCGGACCATAAGGTGACTTACCCAAGCCCTGCCACCACCCCCTGCACTCGGGGACACCTGCCCACTCCATTTTCATGTGGACCCAGTGGAGCGCTTCTGTCAGCATCCACAGCTGGGCCCACAGCTCTGATAGCCGGCCGTGTTGGGTTTGCCCAACACGGAATGTTCTGGAAGCCGCAGGGAACACTCTCAAAGGGGGTGCTCCTAAGGGCGGTTAAGGTGCCGAACGACATGCACACAGCAGCTAACATGAAATCAATGGCGGCTGAGGCCCCGTGGCCGGCACCTCCGTGAATTGGGGGATTTGGTGTCGCACCATGTGCTTCTGAGGCCACCATCCAGGTGGCCAGCGGAGGGGGATCCCAGTGACAGCAACTCCTTCAGACACAAAGCTTTATGAGAAGGTTCTGGCGACTGTTGTGTCCCGAGCACAGGGGCCTCCCTCTAGCTCTGGACAAGGACCCCACACCTCAGCCCATCTGACTGCCCGGTTTCGTGTGGTCACTGCTCTTTCCTCCTGTGACAGCCACCTTCCTTTTCTGCTCCGCGCACTATGCCAGATAAGGTTTTCTTTCCCTAGGGCGGTGTTCTTCAGAGCAGCTCCCAGTAAAAACGGTGGGTGCTGTGAACAGGGGTGAGGCAGGCCCACTGGGTGGGTCAAGGGGGTGTAACAGCTGCTGGGTGTGGCCCCAGGATTCTGCTGCAGCGGCCCCCAGACCCGCCGTCCTGTCTGGCTCTGCGTCACCCTGAGGGGGTCCTGGGGGGAGGGGGTCTGTGCACTGTGGCCCTCCGCCAAATCCAGCCTGGTGCCTGTTTTTTCAATAAAGTTTTATTGGGACACAGCCACAGGTTTGTATCAGCTGCGGCTGCTGCATCGTTGAGAGGTGTCCCCAGAGGGCACAGGCCCCACAAAGTCCTGAGGTGTTTACTATCCGGGCCTCTCCGGGAACGTGTGCCAGCCCCTATCTCTGGGCACACCCCTCACCCCACCCCAGCCTCAGTTTCCTCATCTTTAGAATGGAGACTCAGTAACTGCTCTGAAAGGGTCAACCGTGGGGAAGGGTCCCCGTTCGGATGAATCTCTCCTCCCTGGATTGGGCAAGAAGGACCCTCCTCAAAAAAGACTCATTATCACAAAATCTATACCTTTTACTTGGAAAGAGCAGAAGCCAGATTCAAAGTCAGCCAAGTGACTCATCAGCGCCTGGTCACCGACGGGGGGGGCTGCCCTCCCTGAGGGTCACAACTACGACACTGGACAAGCCCTGTCCCAGGCCAGCGGGGTCTCGGGCACTGACCTAACCTCTCCGAGCCTCAGTTTCCCCTCTGAAATAGCAGGACACGGACGCCCCTTCTGTCTGGGGCTGTGGGGCACAGACACAGTGGCAGCCCCTGGCAGTGCTGCGGGGTTGGGGGGGGGAGGCGGTGACTAAGGCCCCACTGTGGGTGCCTGGCCAGCTGGGGGGACGGGATGTGGAGGGTCTGGGGCCCATGTCCCAGAGCTCTCGGTCGTCAGCTCCACGGGGCAGCTGCATGTCCTGGAGTGACCAGAAGGGACACCAGCAGCGTCCCTGAGCCTTGGAGGGCAGCCCTGCGGGAGTGACTTGGGGCACATCGCTGGCGGGTGGCCGGTAGCCCGGCTCTGCCGCACACGGCAGCTCAGGGAAGCGTGGGGCGGGGGCTGGAGACCCGGGTCTACTCTGACCTGACCCGAGACTGGGCCTTGGTTCCTTCCTCGAGTGTCCCACAGGGGGGTGGGGCTGACGCGTCTCAGAGCTCTGGGGTCTGGGAAGGCGGCCCCGCCCCGCCCACACAACGTCACGCCCCGGCACCCCCCCCACGCCCCGCCCCGCCCACACAACGCCCCGCCCACACAGCGCCACGCCCACGCCACGCCCCCGGCACACTCACTTTGGGGTGGATCTTGATGGTGGCGATGTCCGACTTCTTGTCGATATCTTTGATGGTGGCCTCGTAGGTGTCCCCGTCCTGCAGCTGCACCTTGAGCTGCTGCCGGCCGGAGACAGCGTTGGTGCTGGACACCACGTGGGCGTTGGTGACGATCAGGCCGGCCTCCGACATGATGAAGCCCGACCCGCTGGACAGGGGCACGTTTCGGCCAAACAGAGGGTGTCTGGGGGGAGCAGCGCAGGCGGGAGGTCAGGGCGGGCGGGGCGGCCCAGCCGGGGGCCCGCTGGGGAGGAGCGGAGCCCCGCGTGGGGCACCCCCCGGGCCGGCCCGGGTCCAGGCCCAGCTCTGCCGGCCAGGCCACAGGCCGCTTATGCGGGACGTCTCACAGCCTCTAAGAGGGGACGGCCATCTCTGACTCACAATCTGCCGGGAGGAGACTGAGGCCCGTGCCTGGCCGGCCAGGCGGGCGCTCGCTGTCCTGCCCACGCAGAGCGGGAGCCAGACAGGCCGGGACTCTCCCCTCAGGGCCAACCCGCTCCTTATCTGGCAGCGGGCAGGCCTCAGTCTCCCCGGCTAGGAAATGGGGTATCTACCCTGCTGAGTGTGACGCCTGGTGGCTAAAGTGCCGGGAGGCAGGAAGTCACTCAACAAACAGGTCTGGGGGACAGCGCAGCAGGTGCTGGGGTCCCCGGGGGGGTCCTTTCCCGCGGAGGGGCAGATCTGACTATGCAGGGAGAGAAGGTAGCGCTGGGGGGGGATGTGTTCCCATCCCGCCCAGTCCCCCTCACCCCGCACCTGTCCAGAAGCCCCAGACAGTGTGACAAGCAGTGACGGTGGCAGGCTCTGCCCCATGAATGACACCAGGTGTCACCCTCTGGGGACTCAGGGGGCAGAGGGGGCACTGGACGGTGCAGGGCGGGGTGTGTGCTCAGACACAAGCAGTCGCCAGGCCTCCCCATCTGTCTCCGTAAACGGCATTAGATGGTCAGAGTCAGGAGTCCCTGATGTGTGACAATGCCCAGCCCCCCGCGGGGCCGAGAGGGAACCACAACCCGCTGCCAGAGGGCCCGGGACACGGCTTGGGACCCTCTCTGGGGCGGATCGCCCCTGGGACCCTGGAGTGGCCTGGACGGAGCAGGAGAGAAGGACCACGAAGTGGGGGGGGCTTCTCAGGGAAGTGAGGGCGTGCAGAAGACCCACCGCGGCAGGCAAGAACCAAGGTCCCCAAGCGCTCCCAGCAGACAGCCCGAGTGATTTAATGCTCACAGCCACCCTACGCTGCAGCAGGCCTTCAGTTTGCAGGTGGGGAAACTGAGGCCCAGGACTTGAACTACTTCTCTGGGTCAGGCAGGCAAAGGGCACAGCACTTGGTCCCTGGGGGGAAACAGCATGTGACCATGCACATGGGTGCTTCGCCCCTCTCCCCAGCTCCGTGTGGCCCTGGGCGGGGGCTGCACCTAGCCTCACCCCTGCACCCATGCTTAGGGTCTAGCACTTGTCTGCAGAAGGGGCCTGAGGCAGCCCCGGGGCCTCCCCGCCCAGGCCGGGGGCATAGCCGAGGCTCGCAAGCCTGATGAACATCTCATCTGCGTCTGGGATCTCACCGGCTCAGTCTGTCCACCCACCCAGCCACCCACCCACCCACGTGAACATTGGCCTCCAAGGCTGATGTGGCAACGGCATTGCTGCCTGGCCAGTCTGGGCTACAGTCAGCAATTAGCTGGCTTAGAGCCTGGTGCCCAGAGCCTTCTGGAAAAATACACTGTCCCCGTCTGAGCCACTGGCAAGGCCGGGGACATACCACTTAGCATGTCCGGTTATAATTTCCTCAATGACACGTCTCAGGGTCTGGAGGTCACAGAAAGGGCAGGAAGGGGTCAGCTCTGGGGCCTGAGAGACCTGGGGGTACACCCCGACTCAGCACTCAGCGGCTCTGCGGGCCGGGAGAAGTTTCCAGGCCTCCGCTCCACACCCAGAAAATGGGAACATTGAAGCTTAGCTTCTGGGGCTCAGCCCTGAGTGACAGCAGAGAGGACCTCGGGTTCAGTGTGTCAGTGGGCACTGAGGGGCGGGCCACCTGGGCCTGGCTCTGGGGTAGCTCCTGCGAGCGAGGGCCTGGCTCTCTGCACTAAGAGGCGGGCACTCACCAGGGCCGTTTGGAGAAATGTAGGCCAAGCAGCAAACAGGGCTCGGAGTATACAGTAGGAGCACACAGTAGGAGCACACAGTAGGTGTCCAAGGATATCGCTATTCTGACGCTGAGCTCATGCCATTGGTGACTCTCTGTGTGGAGCGCCATCAGGGGTGAACACTGTCCCCACCCCCCAGAGACGCAGGGGCAGCGATGCCCCGGAAGGAGTTCTCCACCTGGGCAGGCTCCACGCCCAGTGAGCAGGGAGGGAGCCCCGCGCTGGGGCCAGGAATCGGGGCGTGAGTGATTCTGCCCGCCCCCAGGGACTGCCGCGGGCCACCGGGTCCTCTGTGCCTCGTGTTGGCATAATGGCCCTGGCTGCCTCCACCCCCTCTGGAAGGCACTGTGGCTGGGGCTCTGAGCCCCCGCCTCATCTGGGCTGTTTGGGGGACCCTCTCCAAAGACAAAAGGAAGAGGAATTCTGATCCTCAGGTGTCATTCACACCATCAGTGTCTCCTCTTTGGGGGGTATGGGACGCTCCTGGAGGAGACCCCAGGGTTCCACTGAGCGACCAGCTTTCAGGGCTTGGAGCTTTCCAGAACCAGCTCCAGCAGTCCCTGTGCCACCAGAGCTGACACCACGGTGCACCTGCTTAGCACACCCTGGTGCTGTGAGCTCAATACCCCTCCTCTCAGCGGGAGACCAGAGTCAGAGGGGGCCGTCCCTCCCCAAAGGCGCACGCAGCTGGAGGCATCAGGGAGGTCTGCCTGGCCCCCCTTGCACTTGGCTTCTCCCGCCCCGGTGCCAGAGCGGGGGTGGGGGGCCTGGGAGGGGGCTCGCGCACCTCAGGAAGAGCTCAATGTGGACCACGGCCGGCGCGATCTTCTCCACCACGTCTGCGATGAAGTTGAACTTGTACCTCGGGCTGGTCAGCTGGTGGAGACCTGCACTGGCAGAAATAGCCAGGCGCGTGAATGAGACCCAGACTCTGCCAGTTGCCCCCCAAACCCCCACCCAGGAGGAGGCGCCAGCAGGGGCCCCCCAGGGAAGCTCCATGCTCAGCAGCGTGAGACGCCAGACCCACACCCCTCACTGGACGTGACACCACCAGGCAGGCCGCAAGGCTCAGAGATGTTAGGACCCTTGCTCTGGGCTGCGCATGGTGACGTGACATTGGCGCCGGCGCCGGGCCAGCCCCCCCGGGCCCTCACCCTTTCTCGCATCTACAGCAAGGCCCTGGTGTGAGGCCGCCGTCCCCTGCCCTGCCGGCTCTGGCCTGTCCTCCAGCCCTCGGGCCAGTGCAGTGATGGGGCAAGGTGACAGCAGAGGCCCCGTGCCAGCCCTTTGGAGCTGCCCCGGGCTGGCCCTGGGGTGGCCCCCTCCTGGGCACCAAGGGACGCCGGAGGACTGAGCGGCCAGGGCCCCCTGTCTGACTTGGCCAGACCCCAGTCTGACTTTCTAGGCGGTTTGTGGACCCCCTGGAACGTTTGCCGGGTCAGATTTCTGCTGCCGTCAGCAGTGGGGGGCCGGCGGCCAGGACCGCAGCCTAAGGGACGTGGGTGGCATCGTGCCCACACCCCTTCAGTCTTCCTGCTCGGGCATGTGCCGAGCTCTCTCTGGTCGCAGCCAGAGACTGGCGGGGCCTGGACCAGGGCTGCACAGCACTGCTTGTAAGCGGCTCCCCAGACGAGCAGCGGGTCCCACGTGCCGGGCTCGGCCAGGCACCCCCACTTCCATCTTAAAGGCGGGAAGACCGTGGCTCCCTGAGCTCAGTCCTCCTGCCCGAAGATGCGGATCTACTTGGAGAAGGCAGGTGCTGAACAGGCACTCAGGGCCCAGAGACAGCTTGCTGCAGGGTCCAAGGTCATGGGTGGGGAGGAGGCCCCCCCGCCCCACCGGATCTGCGATGTCTGCCTCTCAGCTAGGTGGTGGGCGCTGGACCCGGGGGCCCAGGCCACTGTGGCCGGCCTGACTCAAAGGCTGCCTGTCCGGGGGTGGCCAGAGCCGGGCTACGGTCGCTGCAAGGCCCCCTCACCCATCAAAATGCAGGCGGCCGGGGGCTACCCAGCCTGGGTGCCCTCTCCCTCCAGCGGTAAAGCCCTCGGAGGGGCGGGCGCTAAGGCTCAGAGCTCACATGAACAAGGGCCCCAGGGGCAGGGCCTGCTGTGGGTGCACACTCCCAGCACACCGTCGGGGCTCGGAGCCTCTATTTCCATGGGGTTCACTGATTCTCCCTGATGCTCCGCAGGTGAGGCCGCCAGTCAGCCGGCGGGCAGGCGGGGGGTGGGGGGGGAGCGCTGAGCCCAGCTCTGTCCTCCCCCCAGTTCCCCCCATCCCACACCCAGAACCCACATCAGGCTCTGGCCTCCGGGCACAGAGAAGGTCCCGTCCAGGTCCCGGTCTCTGACAAAGCCTTCCTCGCTTGGCAATTCCTGCACCCTGGGGACCTCAGAGGACCCCGGGCCCAGGCCCCTGTCCTTTCCACGGGGTAGGGGCTCCGCAGAGTCTGCCGGGTTTACCCCCGCCGAGGCTCGTGCCCACCATGCTTTGCTGGGGAGGGCAGTCCCCGAGGGCCATGTCAGGCGTCACCCCTCCCTGCTGTGTAGCCTGTTTGGCCATTTACCCCAAGTCTCCGCTCCATCACCCACCATTCTGTGCCTCAGCTGCACAGACCATTCCCCGCTTCCCCTTAGCAAGATGTTCCAGCTTGTCCCGTGCACAACTCAAATCCCGCCTCCTCCAGGCAGTCCCCCAGAAGGCTCCTTCCAGCCAACATGAGTCTCTCCCTCCTGGGGGGAGGGGTCCCAGCATCATGCCCCGCCCACAGCACTGCCTCTCAGGTGGGGTATATTCAAGCCACGCAGGCAGAGGGCCTCTGTGTGCGCGCGCCCCATGCCGTGTTTAGGCGAGTGACCCGTCAGGCACCTCACAGTGTGACCGAGGATGGGGCATGGGGAAGCCCAGAGGTGCCTCCATCCAGGTCCCAAGGACTTGAGAGCCTGAGCCCTCCCCGGCCCAGGGCCTGGGGCGCCCCTCTGAGGCTCCTGGGTCAGCCAGCTGGTGACCCGCGCCCAGTCAGGCCCTGTTCCTTTAAGCAGAGCCACCGTGGTGGGCGGTGGGGAGGGGAGGTGGGGCGGGGCCGGCCTGCTTCCTGGCCCTCCTCCCCACACACGGATGAGTCACCCCATGAATCAGTGGGAAGGGAGGACTCGGTTCCCACAGCCTCTTTCCACATGAAAACCTTGGGCCCCACGGCTGGAAAGCAGACTCTGTTTATTTGGGGTTTTGACAACCCCCGCCCCCACCCCCTCCTCAGCCAAAGCTCTGAAGTCAACAGTCAGTCCCGACCAGACTCAGCTGTTGGCGGTTTTTGTTGTTGTTTTGTTTTCAGAAATAAACTGTGATCTGCGGGCCTTGGAAGTTTTCGTTCAGGCAGATCTGACACACAGCACAGCCGTCAAGGCCAGGTGTCCAACGGCGCCTCCGGGAGAGGAAGGGACACGGCCAGGATGGGAGCGACTGGGACCGGAGTGGGCAGGGAGAGAAGCTGGGCTTCGGGGCTCCACCCTGGCGGGGCCCAGCTTCCCGGGGGGCTCGGGGGCGGTGGCACAGCCACACTCCCATGGAGCGACAGATGGGGAGTCCAAGGCCCGGGGTGGGAAAGTGACTGGCCCACACATCCCGCCGGGCCGCCGTATAGTGCTGTTACACAGCTTGTGGACTGCACAAGCTCAGGACCGTTACTAACAAAGATCGCAGCATGACTGGCTTCCCTGGGAGTTGGGCAGTGCACAGCCTGCCCGACTGTACACACTGCCCCTTCAGCACATAACGGGCACCGAGACCAGTTCTGTTCCCATAACTCTGCCGTCATGGCCCTATTCCGTCAGAAGAAGCCCCCGCCCGTACCACGTGGTTAGCTGTGAGTGGGACGGAAGAGCCATCAGCGACGACCCCAAAGCCTGTGCCCCTCTGCCCGTAATGCTGAACACGGCTGCACACCAGACGACGTCTTAGCGGCATTCGAGGACCAGGCTCCATCTCCATCCACAGCCTCACCTGCTGCCGCTCTCCTCCCTGTACCCCCAGCTCCCTTCCGTTGTCCCGCAAGCCCAGGCCAGCACACCTCCTCTGGGGAGCCCGCCCTGACTTGGCAGGCACAGGGACCACCTCACCGCTCTGGGTCCGACAGCCCCTTGTAACCCCTGCCCAGGTGTGTTCCTCTGTCCCCATGGCCTGGGCGCCCCAATCCACAGCACGAGAATGAGTGAATGAGCAGGGGGGGTGCATGGGTGTTCTGCAGAGACGGGGGCGCTGCCCCGGGGCCCCTCCACAGCCCAGCCCCCACCTGCAGGCCCCCCTCACCCACCAGGGGCAGGCTCGAAGCCCAGGAGCCGCCTCCAGGGTCTGATTAGCTTCCAGAGCATTTCTCTGCCTTTCTCTTTCTCTTGCAAGCTGGCCTGCCCCCAAGTAACCGTCGCCACGCGGGCCAGGAGCAGGGCCTTCAGGTCCCACTGTGGCCCCCAGGGGCACGAACGCTGCCATCTGGGGCCCTGGGCCCCCAGCGCCCGGCCCGGGAATGCAGGCTCCTCCCCCGCGGGCTCGGGATGCCTGTGACTCCAGTGAACTCTCATGACAGTCCGCAAGGCAGGGGTCTTTGCCCACCTTACGGGCCAGGAGGACCCCCACCAAGGCCCCGAGCCAGGTCCCTGGACGCTGACCCCAGGCACTTCCTCTGCCCCGGGGCGCCTGGCTGTCCCGCCCAAGGGCACCCAGCCTCGGGTCCTCGGCTCCGGTCAGCCCGGCTCCTCCAATGTGCCGACCTTGTGGAGGAGAAGGTTCTCCCACTGGCTCGTCTGGACTTTTTCAAGGTGGGTATGCAGGCCAGTCGCCACCGAAGCCAAAGTGGGCTCGGCCCCCGGCCCTCCTCTGACAGGAAGCCCTCCCTGCCCTGACCGGTCCATCCGCTGGCTCCCCTGGACTCAGGCTTCCAGCTGGGTCATGGGGCTAAGCAAGATCAGTGGAACTCTGCTGGGCGTGTGGCAGCCCTGCCACAGACACTGCCTTCTGGCACCTTCTCCTCCTCGACTTCCTCTCCTTTGCTCTCTCACTGATGTCAGAGACACCCGCCTGTCGGTATTTAGTCTGTGGGCACTCAGGTCTGTCTGCAGCGCTGTGCACAGCGCATTAGTCTCCTTGCCTCGCTGGCTGTTCAGTGGCCCAGTGAGGACAGCACCGTCATCCCCGTTTCACAGATGAGGAATCTGGGGTGCAGAGAGCTTAGGAGACTTGCAGAGCAGAATGGAGTCTCAGTTCCAGCTCCGCCCATCATGCGCTACAGGAGCTAAAGCATACAGTTGCACATGCTGTGCACTGCATATCTCCAAGGTTCACCCGCTCCCCCTCCACACGAGGCCTGGTGTTAGGTTTGGGGCACACATATATGCATCCTGGCCATGCCTTTGCTGCACCGAGGACAAGGGGTCTGTGACTTTATTCTCTTTCTTACCTGCTTGCCGAACACCCTTATCAAAATCAGACAGGAAAGCTACCTCCTTAAGGCGCTAGAGGTCTGCCTCGCGTGCAGAGCAGCAGACAGAAAATCCGCGGAATCTGGGCTCCGGCAGAGCTGTCCCTCCCCAGCTGGGGTAGGTCAATACCCCTGCTAAGCCTTTTCTTAGAACAGGCCATGAAAATAAGACCTAAAGAATGTGGGTTTAAGGCTTCGACAGCCGGAAGCACAAGGCTGGTGTGTCACCCTTGATCTTGGTAAACCCGGTGGCTTCCCTCCCTCAAAGCAGGGCCCCAGGAGGAGGCAGGACACACCGCTCACTCCGCCAGTGTGATTTGTGCAAACCCCAGGCCCCCTGGGGAGGCCGAGCACTCCTGGCGGGTGGGTGAGCTGGTGGATGGCTGAGGGGCGCCCATCAGGTGCATGGAGCCC